CCTATAGAGAACTAAACATTTCAAGTAGGATTGTATCTCTTATCGTAACTCAAACAAAGCCTCAAGTCTGTAGTTGGCCTCTTTCAATATCTTCACACATGCCCCCCCCCCCACCCCGTGAACCTATTACAGTGCAGCAGTCCCCCCTCACTATAACTGATGTACTCTAGCAGACGAGAGGGTAAAAAATAAATAAGCAATATTTTTAAAACCTTAAAACAAGTGTGTTCTCACATAATCAAAAACAATAACTCTTCATTAAAACTATAACTCTTGACTAAACCAATAACTTTGATTAAAACAATTACTCTTGGTTTGTTTGAAATAGCTGACTACAAATACAATCTTAGTGATTTAAAGTCAACACCATGTATTACTATTCGTGGCTGATCCACGGAACTACCTTTGACGCATTTTAAACTTTCGTTATAGCAAGCAGACCGTCATATAAAGCATGCAGACCGTCATATAAAGCATGAAGACCGTTATATAAGGCATGCAGACCGTCATATAAAGCATGCAGACCGTCATATAAAGCAAGCAGACCGTCATATAAAGCAAACAGACCGTCATATAAAGCATGCAGACCGTCATATAAAGCATGCAGACCGTCATATAAAGCATGCAGACCGTCAAATAAAGCATGAGGACCATCATATAAACCATGCAGACCGTCAAATAAAGCATGATGACCATCATATAAAGCATGCAGACCGTCATATAAAGCATGAGGACCATCATATAAAGCATGCAGACCGTCAAATAAAGCATGAGGACCATCATATAAAGCATGCAGACCGTCAAATAAAGCATGAGGACCATCATATAAAGCATGCATACCGTCATATAAAGCATGAGGACCATCATATAAAGCATGCAGACCGTCATATAAAGCATGCAGACCGTCATATAAAGCATGAAGACCGTTATATAAGGCATGCAGACCGTCATATAAAGCATGAAGACCGTTATATAAGGCATGCAGACCGTCATATAAAGCATGAAGACCGTTATATAAGGCATGCAGACCGTCATATAAAGCATGCAGACCGTCAAATAAAGCATGAGGACCATCATATAATGCATGAGGACCATCATATAAAGCATGCAGACCGTCATATAAAGCATGCAGACCGTCAAATAAAGCATGAGGACCATCATATAAAGCATGAGGACCATCATATAAAGCATGAGGACCATCATAAAAAGCATGAGGACCATCATATAAAGCATGAGGACCATCATATAAAGCATGCAGACCATCATATAAAGCATGCAAACCGATATATAAAGCATGCAAACTGTCCAACACAGCGTGTAAACCATCACACACAGCGTGCAAACCAACAAACACAGCGTGCAAACCATCAAACACACCGTGCAAACCATCAAACACACCGTGCAAACCATGAAACACACCGTGCAAACCATCAAATACAGCGTACACACCATTAAAGTGACGAACGATCTTGAAACCGACCTCAATAACGTATTGGTCGTTATAACAAAAGGGCAACACTATGACGATGTGGTCAATGGGCAACACTACGACCTATTGGTAAATGGGCAACACTACGACCTATTGGTAAATGGGCAACACTACGACCTCTTGGTAAATGGGCAACACTACGACCTCTTGGTAAATGGGCAACACTACGACCTCTTGGTAAATGGGCAACACTACGACCTATTGGTAAACGGGAAACACTATGACCTATTGGTAAATGGGCAACACTATGACCTATTGGTAAATGGGAAACACTATGACCTATTGGTAAATGGGAAACACTATGACCTATTGGTAAATGGGAAACACTATGACCTATTGGTAAATGGGAAACACTACGACCTATTAGGAAATGGGCAACACTATGACCTATTGGTAAATGGGAAACACTACGACCTATTGGTAAATGGGAAACACTATGACCTATTGGTAAATGGGCAACACTACGACCTCTTGGTAAATGGGCAACACTATGACCTATTAGGAAATGGGCAACACTACGACCTATTAGGAAATGGGCAACACTACGACCTCTTGGTAAATGGGCAACACTACGACCTCTTGGTAAATGGGCAACACTACGACCTCTTGGTAAATGGGCAACACTACGACCTATTGTTAAATGGTAAACACTATGACCTATTGGTAAATGGGAAACACTATGACCTATTGGTAAATGGGAAACACTACGACCTATTGGTAAATGGGAAACACTATGACCTCTTGGTAAATTAGCAACACTATGACCTATTGGTAAATGGGAAACACTACGACCTATTGGTAAACGGGAAACACTATGACCTATTGGTAAATGGGCAACACTACGACCTCTTGGTAAATGGGCAACACTATGACCTATTAGGAAATGGGCAACACTACGACCTATTAGGAAATGGGCAACACTACGACCTCTTGGTAAATGGACAACACTACGACCTCTTGGTAAATGGGCAACACTATGACCTATTGGTAAATGGGCAACCCTACGACCTCTTGGTAAATGGACAACACTACGACCTCTTGGTAAATGGGCAACACTATGACCTATTAGGAAATGGGCAACACTACGACCTCTTGGTAAATGGGCAACACTATGACCTATTGGTAAATGGGCAACACCATGACCTATTGGTAAATGGGTTACACTACGACCTATAGGTAAATGGGAACACTATAACTTAATTTAAATGGGCAACTCTATAATCTATTGGTATATTGGAAGCAATGAATTATTGGTAAATGGGCAACTCTATGACTTATTGGTAAATGGGCAACAATATGGCGTGCCGTTACAATAATGCACTAATCTAAGGAGACCATTTGTTATCAACTTGAGCACACAGATCGTATCGTGACTTAAAGATCTAAGCTATTTAAATAATATTAAAATCTTTCAGTTCTTGGTCCAATTTCCACAAGACATTCCCCCCCCCCCTTATATAAGACAGATTGGGTAGACTTTGAACGGTAGGGGCTAGGACAAGTTCACACAATAAACCACACAGAATCATTCAAGATGAGAACCGCCATCATATTCTCGTGCATCCTTGCGGCATCTTCTGCTTTTCTGCTGGATACAAGACGTAAGCCATTTAGTTGAACCGTTTTAATATGTAGAGATTTTACCCACATCAAAGTCTCATTTAATGAATTCAAATAATTCTCTTCAAATTATTTCGTAACTCACAGGAACAAAGCCAGGTTTTGACGATTAGGGGATGGGGAAAGGGGCGAAAAAATTATCTAAAAGAAGTCCTACACACCAAAATAATAAGTTTCACAAATAAAATTGATTATGATTATATAGATTGGATAGGTTTTTTGTTTTGTTTTTTTTAGAAATATCTTAACCTTCAGCTGGTGGGGAAACAATATTAATAAATAAATAAATAAATAAAAAAGTATACACTACGATACATAGTTCATGAAATAAAAATCGGGGAGGAGGGAGGGAGATATTTTAGAAAAAATTGTGGGAGGATCTGGGGCCCTTCCCCAGAAAGTTTCTGATAAATTCAAAATGCATTTTGGCGCATTTCTGTAATTGAGTTTGCTTAATAAAGGTCATATTTTAAATAGTAAGCTTATAAAATTGATGCGAATGAAAGTGATTGTCAACGTACAATGTACCAAGCATAAATGGTGTCCTTTAGTTAAAAATAAATTGTCCGATGTAACTTTGCTTGAGATGAGAACAAAGCAGTTAACCCTTAGCAGACCAAGCTAACAATCTAATTTTTTATGGAAAGCTTTGAATTGTTTATTAGTAGCAATTATGAAATTTATAGTGTATACTAATGTATAAGGGACATTAGGAATACAGTTCTAGTTTAGGAGTAAGGGAGGTAATGCCTATATTTACAATTCAGACTTTCAGCCATTCAACAGACATTTCATGCTCATGGTTTTTTAATGTGACCACCTTTTTGTAAAAAAAAATCTTTGTCCGGCGTCATGGCTTCACACTTGTCCCTACGTCATTTCCTTCAACCATGTTGGTGGGATCTTGATTTTCGCATTCGAAATGGATCAAAGAATGATCCGCTAAATTGTGGGCCGAATTGGGGTTGTTTAAATCAAAATGTTCCTTAAGACGAAGCTGTGGGCCAAGCTTTAGTTCTGTGGGATCCCTAGAAAAGGTTCAGGACACCATGGCAAATGGTTACCTGCACCAGAGTTAAGAATAAAACGGCCATCTTTTAAAAATTAAATGAAAAGGCGGGTTTTAGTAAGTTTAGTCAGATTCAGTAAATCCACTCTTCAATTTATGTTTTCCAATTTCAGAATATAAATGGGACAATCTGAAGGGTAAGTAAGATTATTAAAACTTAGAAACTTTGTTTCATGTCTACTTTCATTTCACCCATCTAACAGTTTTCTAGTTTTGAAGGTGAAGTTTTGATAAATTATTTTGTTACCCAAGCTACAAGAGCTACTATTTGACTTATATGTGGATAATAATTTTACTATAGGATACTAGGGCTGAAACGGGTGCAGATTTTCCCCACCGGATCTGGGTATTTTGAGAAAATATCCGGTGGGTCCAAGTGTTATAAAAAGAGTTAAATTTTAATTTTCTTTAATCTGCAACGAAATCTACTGCGCTATGTCCACAATGAGAGTGCATTGCCTTCGTCAACCGTTTGTGTCAAGAAATAACCCACTAATAAGAACAGGCAGTTGCCGGATCCTGGTATACAGATAACGTTGTTAAAAAAAAAAAAAACAGTCGTTCATTTTATATCAAAGAATTACGAAACAACAGTCGCAGGAGAACGAAAATAGCAATACCTTCATGTACCAGGCTACGGAAGATACTAACAGGCGCTCACATGCCCACAGTGAATGGAAAGCCCATGGCCCAGTTCTCTGTGGTCTGCAGCCCATGGCCCAGTTCTCTGTGGTTTGCAGCCCATGACCCAGTTATCTGTGGTTTTCAGCCCATGACCCAGTTCTCTGTGGTTTTCAGCCCAGAACAAAGATGGGAAAAAAACAGTGACATTTTAAAAAAATGCTTTCAAAAAGAGTTCAAACGTGACGCATGAAGCGCGCTGCGTAACAGACGTTTAAAAAAAAACCTCAATACTATTTATATAAAACGTGTGGAGTTGGTGGGGTGGGGTGGGGTAGGTTTGAAGAGGAAGCAGGACGCTTCAGAAGCAAAATATATAAGAGATAACGTAAAGTCTTATAGGCAAGGTCTATTCTTTTTACAGTATTAGACTGAACACGTTATGTACAATTGGGTTTGTTTGATGAAAACAACATAACCACTTACGGTTGTTTAAACAGTGATACGAAATTACATTTTTGTTTGATGTGCCTGCACTGGGATATTTTATTCTAAAAGTGATACATCTCGAGTAATCTCCATCACAGACTGACATGTGGGGAAGTCACCATGGAATGTCACGTCAGTCTATCGGCTCTTTCTATAGCAGCTTCCTGTATGGTTAGAATGCCGCTTCATTGTGATCACTTGGATGGGAAAATTATATCTTCAGATTTGATAAGCTTGTGATCTTCTAACATGTTGCCTCATCGAGGGTAGCACACAGGAAGTTCATTTAAAGTTTCAGTCATAGTTAAAGATGTTGACACTGCTCACTCTGCTCATACTGCTCCATTTCTGCTCTCAAAAATTTTTAGAATGGCTTAGAGGTTTAGATAAGAGACCTTACCACGAGGTACTGAAACTCTGTCACATTTCCCTAGGTACTGAAACTGTCACATTTCCCTAGGTACTTAACCTCTGTCACATTTCGCAAGGTTCTGAAACTCTGTCAAATTTACAATGAGCTGTTGTTCAGTGATGCTGTCCTCCCCTGCTCAAATGTCACGTGACCTGCATCCTCCCGGTTTAGACTTCGATGCCTTGATTCTGAAAGTATTATCTAGACTTCATGTCTTTTCCTGTGTGACTTGGTTATTGCTGGAAGCTAACCTACGTCATCGCCCTACTCAAAGTTCTCGGGATTGAGTTCCTCATCCTCAGCCACCGCAGTCCTGCACTTTACAACTGTGCGGTTGCAGCATGAGCCAATCACTTGCAAGTCAGAGGAGAACATGAAAGAGAACGCATCACTTCCTTGCTGGGGGTTGAACTTTGACTGGTTCTTAGAGACGGTCGTTGTCAAGAGTTTTATTTTGAAAGTTGCCATAAAAGGTTATCTTTATGTATTTAGTAATAAGACAAGGCTAACCGTTTTGTTCAAAAATGAAAAATAATATTTCAACACAACTTGATAGAAACATTCTTGAATATTTCAGTAACCTGGGGACCGAACCCGCTGAATTCAAACTATTTTGTAGGCATGCCCAGGACAACAGCGGATGCTGAACATAATGGCTTTAAAAAGATCGGTGGCTGTGACAGTAAGCCTATGTGTTTGTGTTTGTATTTCTAAGTTTTTGTCACAGTAGGTGTGTGTATTTGTGACAATAAGTCTGTGTTTGTTACAGTATGTCTATGTGTTTTTGAATGTAAGTGCTTGTACTTGGGACATAAGTGTCTGTGTTTGTGACATTTAGTCTATTTGTTTGTGACAGTAAATATATATGATTATTGTGACAATGTTATGACCCCTTATATATACATAACCGTTTATAATGGGTTCTTTCTTTCTAGGGGTGGGGCGGGTCTTTGATTGCAGGAGGGCAACCTTCCCTATACTAGACGACCTATTATGTCTTTCAATTTAATCTAAGAGCATGGACAGAAGAGACAACAAAGTCGTTTACTAAGGCATGAAAGGAAAACACGTCACGACAGCGATTTTATTTCACAGTGAATGTATTTGACACCATCAGGAAGTGATAGCGTGCCAAAGCAATGACTTACACTAAGATGGATTTCAATCAAAACTCAAGCACGGAAGAAATGAAGTTGCAAATGCCAAAGTATGCTAAGTACTCAAGGATGGGTGAAGGATGTGTGAATGATGAATGAATGGTGAGTGAATGATAAGGTTTGCTAAACATTTTGAAAACATAGGCCATTAACGCTGTTACTAGTGTTCAATTGACAAGCTAACTATGGCTATAGAATTGAACAACACCAACAAATTGACCACTGGCTACTGGGGACAAGTATTACGTCAACCTTAGTCTAATACGGCCATGAGCAAGTAAACTGGTCTGGCTGGTCTTAGTGGTCTGGCTGGTCTTGGTGGTCTGGCTGGACTAAGTGGTGGTCTGCCTTGTCGGTCTGACTGGTCTGGTTGGTCTTTTTGGTCCAGACGAGTCCAAGACATTTGGGAGCCATAGAGGATGAGTTTCCTCACACATTTTAAATGAAGACAACAAGGAAGTGGGGTTGGAGGGGGAGGAACGGAGGCACAGTCACATTAATTTTTTTTTTTTAGTTACTAACCTTGACTAATAGGTAGACAAAAATAGGAGAAATAAATGGCTGACTCCATATGACAAATGGAGACGAAGTCTTTTTTTTTTTTTTTTTTTTTTTGGGGGGGGGGGGGGGAAACTTATTGTCTTAAATAACCTTGACTAATAGGTAGACAAAAATAGGAGAAATAAATGGCTGACTCCATATGACAAATGGAGACGAAGTCTTTTTTTTTTTTTATTTTTTTAGGGGGGGGGGAGGGACAACTAATTGTCTTAAATCGGTGATGTACCTCTACACGAGTAGACATTTTTGAGCCGAAATGTTGTGGTTAACAGCCTAACACTTGCTGACTCTGGACATATGGAACTAAACACTTGCTGACTCTTGACATAGGGAACTAAACATTTGTTGACTCTGTGCGTATGGACCTAAACACTTGGTGACTCTTGACATAGGGAACTAAACATTTGCTGACTCTGTACATATGGAACTAAACACTTGCTGACTCTTGACATAGGGAACTAAACATTTGCTGACTCAGGACAAATGGAACTAAACACCTGGTGACTCTTGACATAGGGTACTAAACATTTGCTGACTCTGGACATATGGACCTAAACATTTACTGACTCTGGACATATGGAACTAAACATTTGCTGACTCTGGACATAGGGAACTAAACACTTGCTGACTTTGGACATAGGGAACCAAGCACTAGCTGACTCTGGACATAGGGAGCTAAACACTTGCTGACTCTGGACACATGGAACTAAACACTTGATGACTCTGGACATAGGGAACTAAACAATTGATGACTCTGGACATAGGGAACTAAACACTTGATGACTCTGGACATAGGGAACTAAACACTTGCTGACTCTGGACACATGGAACTAAACACTTGATGACTCTGGACATAGGTAACTAAACACTTGATGACTCTGGACATAGGGAACTAAACACTTGATGACTCTGGACATAGGGAACTAAACATTTGATGACTCTGGACATAGGGAATTAAACACTTGATGACTCTGAACATAGAGAACTAAACACTTGCTGACTCTGGACACATGGAACTGAACACTTGCTGATTCTGGACATACGAAACTAGCTCAACTTTAGTTCATTCACGAGCCAAGTACGAATCGAATGACAGGACAATAAGAGAAGAACATTTCGACAAAGTGCCTCCCTCAGAAGACAGGACCAAAAAAAAAAAATGCAAGAAATAGGAACTAATTAAAAACTTAAGTGATCAACGCTTGTTAACTAAGTTTATACTTTTAACGGGAGAAAATTGGCGAAGAAGACTTTTCAAACAGGAGGATGTTAATCTAGACAGCTCCAGTTGATAATTGATTTCAATTTATAGAGTACGAGATGTAGCCCGCCAAACAATGGCGACAGCAATGCGTGAACTTCCCATCTACTTAAGTTACTTGACAAAAACGTGAACTGAAGTTACGCACATTTAAGAATGCCAATGTTGCTACAGCCCTCCCCCCCTCCCTTTTTTTTTCATGATACTTCACGGCACACTTTTTATTTCATGCCGACCCGCGGCTTAGCATACGCTGTGAGTTGGCTGGCACGCAAGGGTGGTGCAGGAGGAGGGCGGTAGCTCCACCGCAGTGCACTTGTCTCGAGCTCAACCATGGGCAAGCAAGGGAAGGGGAGGGTTTGTCTGCGTCTTGCTTGCTCTGGCGTATCTATATATAGCCTGCGTGGTCGTCGTCTTCTTGTTTGCCCTACTTCTGGCGAATTATATATATAGATTAGAATGGCTGGGAAAATAGCCAAAGATTTACTGAATTATTCAGAGTTGTACTGTAATAGTAAACAAGGATACATGGCATCGTAGCTACAGTAAGTCTCTTAGGGTGGGACAGTGAGTCTCTTAGGGTGGACAGTGAGTCTCTTAGGGTGGGGCAGTGAGTCTCTTAGGGTGGGACAGTGAATCTCTTAGGGTGGGACAGTGAGTCTCCTAGGGTGGGGCAGTGAGGCTCTGAGGGTGGGGCAGTGAGGCGATTAGGGAGGACAGTGAGTCTTTTAGGGTGGGGCAGTGAGTTTCTTAGGGTGGGACAGTGAGTCTCTTAGGGTGGGGCAGTGAGTCTCTTAGGGTGGGGCAGTGAGTCTCTTAGGGTGGGACAGTGAGTCTCTTAGGGTGGGACAGTGAGTCTCTTAGGGTGGGACAGTGAGTCTCTTAGGGTGGGGCAGTGAGTCTCTTAGGGTGGGACAGTGAGTCTCGTAGGGTGGGACAGTGAGTCTCTTATTGTGGGACAATAATTCTATTAAGTTGAGATAATAAGTCTCTTAGGGTAAGCGGTGAGTCTCTTAGGGTGGGACAGTGAGTCTCTTAGGGTAGGTGGTGAGTCTCTTAGGGTGGGTCGGTGAGTCTCTTAGGGTGGGTCAGTAGGGCCTAGCAGTACATCGTTAATTACATTGCAGCAGAAATTTAACTAAGTTACATCGTTAAGTTCATTTGAATTGGTTGTTCACTTCACATACCTTTATGATCTCTCCAGCAACTGCCCACTGGCGTGGACAACGTTACATCAAAAATGACGACTACGCTGTTGTGTTGCTGTATGACATCCATGGATTCATCGCTGGAATCCAGACAACGGTGGGTTTGTTGTACGCTAACGCGGTGGTCGGCAAACTCATTAGTCAAAAGAGCCGAAAATCAGCAGCAGGACGCTTACAAAATTTTTAGAGCCAAATTTATTTTCAAGAATCTGTCAAGAGCAATGTTTTTCGGAGTCAAAACCGATTTGAGGCCACCTGGCCGAGTCGCACTCAGGTCGTTTAAGAGCCGCATGCGGCTCGTGAGCCGCGATTTGCATACTACTGAACGAAAATATTTTCTTTGAAAGAATTTGATTATGCATGGTAGCAGACAGTGGGTCATGCAAGGTGACAGACATTGAGTCATGCATTATGACAGACTTTGGTTCATGCATGATGACATACATTGAGTCATGTATTATGACAGATATTGGGTCATTGCATGGTGAGAAAGATTTATGAGAACTTGCTGTATGACGTCATTCGAGAAGAGTTTGTTAAAGACGGACTACTCTGTTTTTGTTTTGTATTTTGTTTTTGGTCACAAGTCACGTGATTTATTTTCTAATGGATTTCATGATCATTTTTTTTTTTTTTTTTTTTTTTTTTTTTTTTTTTTTTTTTTTTTTTTTTTTTTTTGAAAATAAGATTAAGATGTATACATTCTAAAATTGCACTGATAAAATGGTATGATGTTGTGAAGGGTGGCAAAACTGTAAAATGATCAATTGATAAGTTATCAACGGACCATCGTTTATTGACACCATTTGTTGTACAATTATCAATTCACGAGTCATCAATAAATTGCATAATTATCGACTAACCAGTTATCAACACTCTGCAAAATTATTAACTCACCAGTTATTAACAAACTGTACAAAAATCAACTCACCAGTTATCAACAAACTGTAGAATGATCAACTCACCAGTTATTAACAATCTACACAAATTATCAACTCATCAGTTATCAACGGACCGTCAAGTATTGACACCATCCGCATTTTTTATCTTTCCCTGAAGGTTCCCAAAGATCAAGGGCGAAACTACCCCAAGCCTCCCATCGAGCCCCCATTTGTTTCTGATGGGAACCGTTGGGTTATTTCCGCCTACTTTGTCGACCCATGTAAGTAAACTCGCATAAAGGGACATAATGTCTTAGTTTAATTTCACTACTTTTAACCCCCCCCCTCTCAACTGTATATCTAACACGTGGTATCTACATTATTTATTAATTAATTTTTTTTAAAAACATACTGTCACGTGTTAGTGAGGCTTCGTTTCTTGACCCCGGTGTCCTGGCCACGTCAGCAGATCGCAGTTAAGTAAGAGTGACACTTTGTTACATAAGGAGGGTGCCAGACAAGCGTCCAGATGTGGCCACTTGGCCTACATTTAAGCCAAGCGACAGTCAGAGAGAGAGAGACTCTTAGAGACAAGATGCAGGACTAGCTTTCCGGGGCATGTGCTTAGTACTAGATAGGGCCCTCCAATAGCTAGCAGTAATGGTAAAACAAGGGCTCGACAAAGAGATCATGCAGGGCACAACGAGAGGAGGGAGGAGAAGAGGAAGACAGAGAAAAAGTTGGGAACATAACACCAAAGAGTGGACGGGATTAAAACTATGCGATGCTGTGCGAAGTGCAGAAATCAGAGACGAATGGAGGAGGATGGTTTTCATGTCATGTGTGACGCCCCAACGGTCCAAGGACTAAGGGACATGATGATGATGATGATGATGAATAGTTATCAAAGTCCAGTACTCATTCGATTTCATATTTGTTCCAGGAACTTATTCATGTGTTAGTACTCTTTAAATTACTATGATGAGAATATATTGTTATTGTTAGAGCTTTATTAATTTCTTAATATTTAAAATTTCTGTATCTTTATTACAAGTTATAAAGTAACTAATTTATTTAGAGCAGGCCTGTGCAACTCAAAATGTAAGGTGAGCCGTAATGCATTATGAAAAACGTGTACGGTCCAAAAGAAAATAGGACAGGACTTGTGCGGGCCAAAAGAATATAGGCCATGGGGGGAGCTATTAATAAAATAAAAATAATTTAAAAATTTCGTTACCTCACAGATCACAAAGTGGGTGCTGGCGGGCCACATGCGGCCCGCGGGCTGTATGTTGTGCAGGCCTGATTTAGAGCACTGATTGTCTTCATTTTAGCCCGAGTGTGTCTAAAACCTACCCGTGTTAGACTCTTTTCAAATTCTTTTAGACCACGAGCCTTTTCAAATTAATTGAACACTACAAAAAAAAAAGGGGGGGGGGGTGTGCGTAACTCTACATAAAAAATCTTCTTTATGTTGATAGCCACTATCTGCACCAAGGGAAGAACTGTTCAAGAGTTCAACGCAGAGGGCACTGGCACCAACCTGTACATTCAGAACAGCACCTCACCTGAGCACAGTGTCCTCATACCTCACAAAGAAGCTGACATCAGGGGCACAAAATGGGTGGAAGGAAACTGTTTCCTCACAATGGGTGAGTTAGCGCATTGATAGATTTAATCAAACTTTATATTTATGGGCTCAGATAGTGGTATAACCCCAAGACAGATGGTGCTAACGACAAGAAAGATGGTGCTAACGACAAGACAGATGGTGCTAACGACAAGACAGATGGTGCTAACTACAAGACAGATGGTGCTAACTACAAGACAGATGAGGCTAACGACAAGACAGATGGTGCTAACTACAAGACAGATGATGCTAACTACAAGACAGATGGTGCTAACTACAAGACAGATGATGCTAACTACAAGACAGATGGTGCTAACTACAAGACAGATGGTGCTAACTACAAGACAGATGGTGCTAACTACAAGACATATGGTGCTAACTACAAGACAGATGGTGCTAACTACAAGACAGAATTGACCTTACCACAAGACATATGGTGACCTAACCGAAAACAGATGGTGACCTCACCACAAGACAGATGGTGACCTAACCAAAAACAAATGTAACCTAACCACAAGAAAGTTGTAACCTAACCACAAGACACATGTTGACATAGCCACAAAAGAGATGGTGACCTACCAAAAAAACAGATGGTGATCTAATCACGAGACAGATAGTGCCCTAACCACAAGACAAGTCATTGAACAATGATTTTGTGCATATGGGATCTTGTGTTTCCATCATGGCGACAGCTCACCTACGGAATCTATGATTATCTTTCAGTTTAGTAGTTCTTTATGTGATGAAATAGTTATTTTTTAAAATCTTATTAGGGATCGTTCGCAAATTAGGTCACGCAAAAATGACCTTTTCAGAACCCCCCCCCCCAATTGTCAAAAAATTATGTCCCCCTCCCCCACTTAGTGTCAAGTCACACCTTAAAAAAACTATACATACAATTTTCATAACTAAACTAAGATTTGATTTTATACTTTAACATTTTCCCATAATGGATGAAGATGTTCTATTATTAGAAAACTGTGACGTAAAACGCAAAACAACGAAATCCTTCCCGAGCCAAATGTAAAATGGCCACAACAGTTTTTGCGTCATTTTTTCGATATGCGCAGAAGGTGTGAGTGACTGAGTATCACGATACCGACAACACCTGAGGCCATTTCGACCTCAAATTCATGTTTTTAAAATTAATTGAATAAAGAATTTTGAAAATTAGAGCATTTTAGATTTTTATTTTTTAAAATAAATTTTGTGACCTCACAAATTGTTGACTCCCCTCCCCCTGTTGCTAATTCTCCACCCCCTTACCCCCTGAGTGTCCCCTAATTTGCGAACGACCCTTTACCTAAAATCTAAAATATGAAAGGAGCTAAATAAAAAATAACGGGACCTTATTAATATCATATAGAAATGTTGTTGCTTTTTTGGTTTGATGATGTATCTCAAGGGAAATATTCCTCCTTCGATCAGGCAAGCACTACTGGTACAATCTGAAGGCCGACATGAGCTGTGACACGGTCTTCCCGGTATTTCTCCTGTACAACCACGGAGAGCTGACCGCATTTGGCTGGGCCCTCATCACCAACCTGACGTCAACAAGATACGAACACCCGACACCATCGTCCTTTGGCGTAAGTTCAATCAAATATAACATTTCGTTATTGTACTAATTTGATCACAAAACTTTATTGTTAATTTTATGGTGTCTTGGACTGCGGTCAATCAAATCGCGTGACGTCTTGCACTGGGGGTCAATCAAATCTCCTGACATCTTGGACTAGGGGTCAATCAAATCTCCTGACATCTTGGACTAGGGGTCAATCAAATCTCCTGACATCTTGGACTAGGGGTCAATCAAATCTCCTGACATCTTGGACTAGGGGTCAATCAAATCTCCTAACGTCTTGGACTGGGGGTCATTCGGCTCAAACTTTCTCCGTGCTGTTACATTGACTTGTTTTCCGCTTCTCGGTTTCTACTCAAAGTGCCCCCTCATACCCCCCCCCACCCAATAATATTAGTTCACTAAACATCTTGTGCCTAAACTTCCTTCGTGCAGAATACCCCCACTACCTTCAACGCCCCACATTTAACCCCCTCCATAAACGTTCGACTCCCACACACACACACCGCATCAACCCCCCCTCCCCCAATGAACTGTTTGACGTCATGTGTAGACAACTCCCCAGAGTAATAAATATTGATTTATCATAAACACATTTTTATGGCAGGGCGGATTGTGAAAGAAATAAGGCGAACACCAAACATAAGCGTATTGCTACCTGCCACCCCTACAGGGGCGGGTCAAGGGAGATGAGAAGAGGTCAATACACCCCCACCACCCTATCTTAAAAAAACAACTGGCCAAACATATACGGCAGCAATGGGTGAAGTTCCCGTCTACTTAAGTTACTGGACAAAACATGAACTCAAGTAACGTACATTTAAGACCCCAAATTTTTGCTACACCCCTTCCCCCATGTTACGTCACTGCACACTTTTTATTTCACGCCCATTAACTATATTAATATTCTCATGTCCAGCCACTTTTATACCGAATATTTATTACACCATATTTAAATTGAGACGATTTCATGTTCCGACCAGAAACTATTACGCACCAAACGCAGTGCCTTATTTAAAACAAAATATCCTTTAGCATAGTTACCGAGAATTATATTTTGCGATCTTTTGAACTCACTATTGAACCATAATTTCTTTCAGACATACAATATAATATGTATCAGCATTCATTTTATCAATTATTTTACAAAGCAGTGATTAATGAAGCAAACGTCTCTTTGTGAATTAAAGAACTCCATTACCAACACACCATTACTAACTACGCCATCACTGCTGCTCCTGCTAAAACATAACAACGCCATTTCCAATACCCAAATATAGGTCACGTCACAAAATAGGAAGCATACAGCAAAAGCTACGAAAATAATCTCAGTACCAAATACGCTGAATAGGAAGCAGTCGGAAATGGAAGCAGTTTAACAGAAGTATAATCTAAATTATGAATATACCGTAATTAACTTATTTATTGTTTACCACTGACCTGATCTAAGTCATACTTTTTATCAATTTACAGGTTCGTTTATTGTAAATTATAAAATTTGTTAAATTTTATTGGGCAGCAGTCCGCCCCTTTGTGATATCATTAGAGTCGCGTTGTAGATCCGATAAGGTCTAAAGTAGTGAAGACCTCAGTCAGCACATTTTGCGCCCTCCAGTGGATTTCTTTGTGGGTATTAGACCCCATTAAAATGATAACAGGAATAATTCATTGGTTTAAGTTTATATGAAACGTTTAAATTTCTGAGACCCATCTTGCTCGTCAACCAGCCCCCCAACCCTCCCTAAAGGCCGCACTGAACTGAAGTATGGCCGAGAACTTATGTGGGGGGGGGGGGAGTAGATTAAATTCGCTCATCATATAAAACACATTTTTAAAACTAAATCAACTTTTGATATCGATAGATGAATATTCAGGCGAGCCTGTATAATAAGTTGTTATTGATTTTATTCGTTCCCTTTGGGCATTCCCGTATCCCTGTTTGTTTGTTCATTCCGGCAGCTGAGAAGTCTATGTGGGCGTGGCCATTCAGATAGACACAAGTTGGTTTGGGGAGATCTCTTTAAAATATAGAGGAACAGCTGCAGCAGCGCCCCCCCACTAACAATAAGAATGTATGTTGAGTAAATCTTCAGCGTTGGCCGATGCTAAAAATAACAAGATAGCAAATGACATCTCTGAGGGTGTAGAAAGGGAGATCAATCATTCATTGGGAATGTTACACGAGACATCAATCATTGATGGGATTTGAATAACATCAATCTTTGTGTATGTGTGTGTGTAGATGGGAGAGTGTTAGACTTGCATATAACATGTCAGGAAATTAATGTTTATTGATGACATCGTGGAGCTCGTGAGACAAACCCCCCGTCCCCCATTGGAATATTTCTTTTGATTACAAAAAATATTATTTAATAAAATGTGCTGCGAATCCCAACTGTGATTTACAAACCCACTATGGCTTCCCCACAGCTTACATCACAGCTACACCACACATCGTACATCACAGCTACACCACACAGCTTGCATCACAGCTACACTATACAGCGTACATCACAGCTACACAACACATCGTACATCACAGCTAAACCGCACAGCTTACATTACAGCTACACCACACAGCTTACATCACAGCTACATCATACAGCGTACATCACAGCTACACCACACATCGTACATCACAACTACACCACACATCTTGCATCATATCTACACCATACAGCGTACATCACAGCTACACCACACAGCGTACATCACAGCTACACCATACAGCGTACATCACAGCTGCAGCTTACATCACAGCACACAGCTTACATCACAGCTAAACCCCACAGCTTATATCACAGCTACACCACAAGTTTACATCACAGCTACACCACACAGCTTACATTACAGCTACATCACACAGCGTACATCACAGCTACACCATACAGCGTACATAACAGATACACCACACATCTTACATTACAGCTGCACCACACAGCTTACATCATAGCTACACCATACAGCATACACCACAGCTACATCATACAGCTTACATCACAGCTACAGCTTACATCACAGTGACACCACACATCTTAAATTACAGCTGCACCACACAGCTTACGTCACAGCTACACCATACAGCGTACATCACAGCTACACCATACAGCGTACGTCACAGCTACAGCTTACATCACAGCTACACGACACAGCTTACATCACAGCTACACCATACAGCGTACATCACAGCTTCACTACACAGCTTACCTTACAGTTACACCACACAGCTTACATCACAGCTACACCATACAGCGTACATCACAGCTACACCATACAGCGTACATCACAGCTACACCACAGAGCTTACATCACAGCTACACCATACAGCGTACATCACAGCTACACCACACATCTTACATTACAGCTGCACCGCACAGCTTACATCATAGTTACACCATACAGCGTACATCACAGCTGCACCATACAGCATACATTACAGCTACAGCTTACATCACAGCTACACCACACATCTTACATTACAGCTGCACCACACAGCTTACATCACAGCTACACCATACAGCGTACATCACAGCTACACCATACAGCGTACATTACAGCTACAGCTTACATCAAAGCTACACCACACAGCTTACATCACAGTTACAACCCACAGCTTATATCACAGCTACACCACAAGTTTACATCACAGCTACACCACACAGCTTACATCACAGCTACACCCCACAGCTTACATCACAGCTACACCATACAGCGTACGTCACAGCTTCACTACACAGCTTACATTACAGCTACACCAAACAGCTTACATCACAGCTACACCACACAGCTTACATTACAGCTACACCACACAGCTTACATCAGATTGTTTATCGTGCCAAGACTATGTATTTTAGCCAAAAGATAACTATGGGTAAAACCAGCAGGCAGTTGTTTGATGTCACCTTAGGGGGAGTAACAAAGGGACTGCGCTTCCTTCGGTGTTTCCCCTGCCCCAGCAACCAGATATTTTCTGTGATTTCTTTACAAGCAAAATTGCTGGCATTCGCGCTGAGCTTGATCGTCTTGATGCACCACCCCTTGAATTGCCTCCTTTCCCTTGTCTTACTTCACATTTCAATATTTTTAAACCTGTTTCAGAACTTGAGGTCAAAAGTATAATTTTAAAATCTAAACCTACGTCATGTTCTTTGGATCCCATCCCAACCCCCCTGTTGGTTGAGTCATTAGATATCTTGCTCCCAACGATAACCCGCTTAATAAATGAAAGCTTATATTCTGGCACTGTTCCGCCTCTTTGCAAATCAGCTGTCATCAAACCATTGCTTAAGAAGCCCTTTCTGGATGAAAATAATTTAAAAAACTATATACCTGTATCTAACTTATAATTTTTATCTAAAGTTATTGAAAAACTAGTCCTAAAACAACTTTTTGCTTACTTAAACGATAACTCTCTTCTCAGTTCTAATCAGTCGGCCTATAGACATTTCCATAGCACGGAGACAGCTCTCTTGAGAGTCAGTAATGACCTCTTGCGCGCAATGGACATCGGTAATGTCTCCATTCTGATCCTCTTAGACCTCAGTGCGGCCTTTGACACTGTTGACCATAAAATTCTTTTCAAAACCCTTGAAAACTACTTTGGAATTTCTTGTTCAATTTTGGCTTGGTTTAGGTCCTACCTCTCTGATAGAACGCAAATGCTCTCTGTCGATGGCTGTATCTCCGGCAGTGCTGATTTGGTGTACGGAGTGCCCCAGGGGTCCGTTTTGGGTCCGGTTCTATTCATAATGTATACCAGGCCTCTGCTCCTCTTGCTTGGGAGGCATGCTGTAGAGAACAGACAGCTTGTAGTCGATGCGTGCTTGTATACAAGCACGCATCGACTACAAGCTGTCTGTTCTCTGTCACAACTTTTTCTCGGATTCCTGCCCTTCCTATCTAACTGAACGTCTTTCTGTCTATTCACCCCTTCGACAACCTCGCTCCTCCGCAGACTCGCGTATTCTGTCCGTTCCCAAGACACGCACTAAATTATATGGTGAACGATCTTTCTCTTTCTGCGCCCCCAAACAATGGAATTCTTTGCCACTACACATCCGCAATATAACAACCACACAGGCCTTCAAAACTGCACTCAAAACACATCTATTTAAACTATACTACTCTGACTGATTCTCCTCCTATAAACCGATAAACGTACATGGGTTTCCTTGTAAAAATGTCTGGTGTGGGTGGATGAATAGACCTTATTTCATTTATGTATTTTATTTTAATATTATGATTATGCCTCTTTGCTATATATGTACAGCGCGGTGAGCCCAGCCCTAGGGTACCGCGCTATATAAGACCACTTATTATTATATCACAGCTACACAATACAGCGTGCATCACAGCTACACCACACATCTTACATTACAGCTGCACCACACAGCTTACATTATAGCTACACCATACAGCGTACATTACAGATACTCCATAGGTTGCATCATATCTATACCGCAGCTACCCCATGACTTCCCCACAGTTGCACAACAGCGTACATCACAGCTACTCCACAACTAACATCTCAGCTACAGCACAACTACAGCTTCACCCTCCTTACAGAGGTGAAACAGACATATGGATATGCCTCCCGAAAATATTTTTTATAAAAGTAAGACCCTTTTAAATGCCCTTTGAAGAGCAAATAGAGACTGACCGAATTTCAGCTTCGTTGCCGAAGGTGGTCATTTCATCACTTTCGGCTCATCAATTTTATCATAGGCAAAGGTGAATAATAATGCACAATCCTGGGAAATGGTAATATTTCTCCTTTTATTTTTGTTTCAATTTTAAACAAAAATTAAGGAAACCTTGGTTTTTTCTATTCATCATTATCATGCTCATAAACATTGATATTGACGAAATAACCAGTGTGTTCATGTATCTCTGGCTTGTATTATAATTATGTAGTAGGCCTACTGCAGACCTGTTCACATTTATGATTTAGACGACCAATTTAGATGCCTTGCAGCTCTCTGCCGAGACCCGTCAGAAGAAATATAAAAAAAAAAAAAACGGTTAACGACTCCCACCCCCCCCTCACCTTTTCCAAGGAAGTTGAGGAAAGTTGGTCACCGAACGAAATAATTACGTCACCAACACGGTAAGAATAATGTGTTGGTACTAGGCTAAATGTTAATACAGGGATGTCTTGCCAGCTATTTATGAAAACACAAAGCATTAGTATGACGAAAACCGAGAAACATTGTGGTGATATTCCTATAGCCTTAAACTTAATAACTAATATTTAGGTGACAATTGGCTTTATTAGAGCCACAAAAATAATTCAAGGGTCTATTTTGAATGCATTTTGCGCCTCTACCCCCCCCCCCCACCCCCGGTCAAATTTTAGGTGATATTCCTATAGCCTTAAACTTAATAACTAAAATTTAGGTGACAATTGGCTTTATTAGAGCCCCAAAAATAATTCAAGGGTCTATTTTGAATGCCTTTTGCCCCCCCACCCCCCCCCCCCCAACCCCCGGTCCAATTTTCTCTTATCATACTACTTAAAAGAACATTTTAAAGAAATTTCTTAAAGGGAAGTAGCCAACAGAGGCAATTTTATTCTCATGCCTGGTGTTGTATGTAGCCATTGAACAGAGCAATAGATGGACCATCAATTAGATAAATGTATTTATGTTGTATGTAGCCATTGAACAGAGGCAAGAGCCATGCTTGTTGGCCTAGGGACCTGCAACTTGTTTCAAGTCCAAATCTGCATTCTTGCACTGAACCAGGTTTGGTACGAGTAGCTAATGGGACCAGTACATTACATCTCAGGATGCTACTTTGACTTTTTGTTGTGTCTATAGTTAACACCACAGGTGGTGAGGAACGGCGAGGAACACCACAGGTGGTGAGGAATGGTGAGGAACACCACAGGTGGTGAGGAGTGCTGTGGTGATGAATGGTGAGGAACACCACAGGTGGTGAGGAGTGCTGTGGTGAGGAATGGTGAGGAACACCACAGGTGGTGAGGGATGGTGAAGAACACCACAGGGGGTGAGGAGTGCTGTGGTGAGGAATGGTGAGGAACACCACAGGGGGTGAGGAAGGGTGAGGAACAAGGTGGTGAGGAGTGCTGTGGTGAGGAATGGTGAGGAACACCACAGGTGGTGAGGAGTGCTGTGGTGAGGAATGGTGAGGAACACGAGAGGTGGTGAGGGATGGTGAAGAACACCACAGGTGGTGAGGAGTGCTGTGGTGAGGAATGGTGAGGAACACCACAGGTGGTGAGGAATGGTGAGGAACACCACAGGTGGTGAGGAATGGTGAGGAACACCACAGGTGGTGAGGAACACCACAGGTGGTGAGGAACACCACAGGTGGTGAGGAATGGTGAGGAACACCACAGGTGGTGAGGAGTACTGTGGTGAGGAATGGTGAGGAACACCACAGGTGGTGAGGGATGGGAGGAACACCAGAGGTGGTGAGGAATGGTGAGGAACACCACAGGTGGTGAGGAGTGGTTAGGAGTACTGTGGTGAGGAATGGTGTGGAACACCACAGGTGGTGAGGAGGCTGTGGTGAGGAATGGTGAGGAACATCATAGGTGGTGAGGAGGCTGTGGTGAGGAATGATGATGAACACCACAGGTGGTGAGGAATGGTGTGGAACACCACAGATGGTGAGGATTGCTGTAGTGAGGAATGGTGGGGAACACCACAGGTGGTGAGGAATGGTGGGGAACACCGCAGGTGGTGAGGAATGCTATGGCGAGGAATGGTGTGGTGAGGAATGCTATGGCGAGGATATTTGTGGTGAGGTATGGTGTGGTTCCTCAGTTGTCGTCACACTTGCCATGTATTTAATGAGTTCCGATCAATTCGATCTACCGTTAGCTTTTAAAAATACAATTTTTAATTTTGTTGAAACAAAACTTTTGATGGAGTGTTTACCAACTGGTGCCAATAAAATAATGACGCTTCTCTTGAATAAATGCATGGTTATAAACTGTAATTATTATGATGTCCATGATACCGTCTCAGAACAGCACCTTGTGAGAAATGAACAATCCCCTTGCCTAACATCATCATTTGATTGTAATGTGTTTTATTATGGCTTATAGTTATACACACGAGCCTTACCCTGAATTAGATATGTGTCTTTGGTCCTTAGATGTCATTATATTTTGACATTGACATGTCTTTGGTCCTAAGATGACATTTGATTGTATTTGACAGATTTTCATGAAAACGGTCCCCACCTGCCTGAACACAGCAGGAGTCCTCTCAACAATGCATATCTACCTTACTGGAAACTATGCCCTGGATACCTGCTAGGTAGGTCAGGTGTATGATGACTATGTACAAACTATGCCCTGGATACCTGCTAGGTAGGTCAGGTGTATGATGACTATGTACAAACTAAGTCCTGGATACATGCTAGGTAGGTCAGGTGTATGATGACTATGTACAAACTATGCCCTGGATACCTGCTAGGTAGGTCAGGTGTATGATGACTATGTACAAACTAAGTCCTGGATACCTGCTAGGTAGGTCAGGTGTATGATGACTATGTACAAACTAAGTCCTGGATACCTGCTAGGTAGGTCAGGTGTATGATGACTATGTACAAACTAAGTCCTGGATACATGCTAGGTAGGTCAGGTGTATGATGACTATGTACAAACTATGTACTGGATACATGCTAGGTAGGTCAGGTGTATGATGACTATGTACAAACTAAGTCCTGGATACATGCTAGGTAGGTCAGGTGTATGATGACTATGTACAAACTAAGTCCTGGATACCTGCTAGGTAGGTCAGGTGTATGATGACTATGTACAAACTAAGTCCTGGATACATGCTAGGTAGGTCAGGTGTATGATGACTATGTACAAACTAAGTCCTGGATACCTGCTAGGTAGGTCAGGTGTATGATGACTATGTACATAAAGGCAATTAGCAAGGCAATCCAGAACCAAGTGGTGCAGATGACATGATGTCTACAGATGAACCAAGTGGTGCAGATGACATGATGTCTACAAGTTTGAAGTTTGTAGATAGCAAACAGCTACTTAAACAAAACATGTGTTGAGTTATTTGTGAATCCATAAAACATGGGTCAAATAATATAGTCTGAATGGAGAGAAGTGTTATGTAATTATATTTTTAAAAAATTGTAAATTGTGTTCAATAACAGAAACAATTGTCAAAAACTCAACTTGTCTCTACAGGTTCAAGGCCACTAATGTCTCAATAAAAACATCTGATGGATAAGGGAGATACTTCCATTATGACTACTCAATAAACTTGTGTAACCCCAAGATGGTGTCCTACAATTCATTTTGTCCCATGTCCAATCAATGAAAGAAAAAAAAGTATTATTTCCTTTTGTCCAATCTCCCAGACTTACAAAAGCCAAATTCTTCTGTACAAGTTATGATAGTTTAACAAGAAAAATAAGTGTGTTAAAAAGATAAAGAACATTACATGACATGATTAGGTCTTAATAGATTATAGAACATTACATGACATGATTAGTTCTTAATGGATTACAGAACATTACATGATGTCATTTGTTCTTAATGGATTACAGAACATTACATGATATGACTAGATCTTAATGGATTACAGAACATTACAATGCGTGACTAGATCTTAATGGATTACAGAACATTACGTGACATGATTAGGGGTTAACTCTTAATATTCCTATTTTTTTTAAATTTTAAAAGATTTCTGACACCACAAAAAAAGTTAAAATCATTTAAAGGTTTAGTCTAAATTTCATGATATTAAATATAAATTTGTTGGGAAATGCATGAGACTTTCATAAATTAATGTTTCACTTTATTTGAATTCATTAATTTGAAGTTGTGAGAAAAAAGTACTTAATTTTTTAATGAAAATTTGAAAAGAAAAAAAAAATTTGATTAGATACAAAAAAGGGAAAAAAAACAAATATCTGGAATTTTTTCATAAAACTGATTTATTCAGGAAGATAATTCATTTTTGTATGTCCAACAGTTTTAATTGCATGTTATAAAAATATGAAAGATTTTGTACTATGTGTTAACAAGGGAAACAATTTTGAAAAATCAATTGACCAAACATTCACAAATTATTCATAAGAATTACAGTACATTTAATCATTATTTTTTTTTTACATGTTTATAAATATTTACACCAAAGAAAATATACAAGTGGTGAATTTATACTCTATGGTACTCCACACGACAGTTTCTTGTCACATGTGGTTAATTTAAACTTTATGGTACTCCACACGACAGTTTCTTGTCACATGTGGTTAATTTAAACTTTATGGTACTCCACACGACAGTTTCTTGTCACATGTGGTTAATTTAAACTTTATGGTACTCCACACGACAGTTTCTTGTCACATGTGGTTAATTTAAACTTTATGGTACTCCACAAGGCAGTTTCTTGTCACATGTGGTTAATTTAAACTTTATGCTACTCTTACAAGACAGTTTCTTGTCACATGTGGTTAATTTAAACTTTATGGTACTTCACACGACAGTTTCTTGTCACATGTGGTTAATTTAAACTTTATGGTACTCCACACGACAGTTTCTTGTCACATGTGGTTAATTTAAACTTTATGGTACTCCACAAGGCAGTTTCACGTCACATGTGGTTAATTTATACTCTATGGTACTCCACAAGACAGTTTCTTGTTTTATTAAAGCAAAGGTAAATGTCACAGGTGCTGCATTTTATTGTGTATTTTTTTTTTGCATTCCCAATTTATAGAACACCTTACCATTTCTATATAAATATGTGCACTTAGGGAAGGCTGGATGCACTGTCTAGTATTTTGAGGCGGTTAGACCGCTTTAGTTCCTCAATGTCAGGATTTTCTTTCCTCCACTCCTGAGAAAGAGAATTATAGCGGTTTACCCTGGCAATATCCACAAAATGGAAGCAAAGGGGTTTTCCAGTTTTTTTTCTATTTCCTTCGTGTGTCATATTTATTTATTAACTGGTCACTTTTATCCAGAATGCATTGCATGATTTTACAATGTTAGTTTGTCTCACCAATAATTTGCCTCAAAAAACACGATCAGCTTTGGTTCTCCTGTTTACAAAGGGCAATCCATTAGCTGTCATAGGATTGGAAACAAGAGACACTGTCTTACTGTCTCTCCATTGAACAGTTAAAACTTCATCCTCTCTAATCCACCTCATATCTCCTCTCCTTGATTTTTGTTGATATAAGTTTTGATTGTCTTTCAATTCATTAGGAAAACTTGTCTTATTTTTCCACATGGTACCACAAGCAAGTATTCCAATAATTAACGGATCTTTAAGTCATTTATACCCACAATAGAAATTATCAAAAACTACTTGGTGGCCGTGGTTTTTAACAAACTTGATAAGGTTCATGACAACATCATAGGCCAAGCCATTGTTTGATGATTGGGTCTGCTTCCCTAAATACACATTGAAATCATAGGTGTAGCCTGTTATTGCCTCTGCTAAGACCCAAACTTTCCTACCCCATTTGGTTGGCTTGTCTCTTATCTATTCTCTGAAAGTTTATCTCCCTTTGTTTTTCACCATACGTTCATCTATGGATAGCTGTTGGTGAGGCTGGTAAAGCTTTTGGCATTTTCTTCTTATAAAAGCAGACAGCAATCTAACTTTGCACAGTTGTTCCTCCTTATTCTCTGTTTCAATGTTAGGAATTTTGAGAAATGTCATCACCGATATTTGATAAATCTTTTTCTGGTCCAGAAAGGCTCTGGCCCAAAGTTCATGGCACAGTCGACCAGTATTTTTGTACACTGGTGACCTGTAAAATTGACATGTACATTAGAAGTCCTAGAAGTTTGTAGAATTCCTCTGCTGATACATCATACCAACCAGTGTAGCTTGAAGGCTTAGTAGGTCCCATAGTAAACGCATAGTTGTTGGTGTACTTCACAAATGTTTCCACTAGATAACCCACATATACAGTTAAAAGATCTCTACAGAAGAGGAATGAAAAGAGTGAATAGATGAAAATGAAAAACAATGAATTTTAACTTCTTTATTTCAGAACCATTACAATTGTACAGACTACACGGCAGTCATTAAACCTTTAGTTTGTACAGACTACATGGCAGTCATAATACCAAAAGGAAAATTAAATAAAACAATATCACTGAACAATTTCTTGTAACAAGATATAAACAAAGATGGCTCATGCTCTACACACACACACAACAGTACATCTGATGAGTACTATATATATAATTTTTACTATACATCTGATTGCTTGTAGTCAGGATCAATCATTCTAACAACAGCTGTTTGTATTGGGATTGTAGAGTTGTCCATGAGAAGCGATTCACCATTTCCTGTTAACAAAAACATTCATGTCACTAATATTTATTGCACTGTTAGAAAGCCTCTCATTAATATTTATTAGACGGTTACAAAACTACTCATAAATATTAAATGGACTGTTACAAAGCTGCTCATAAATATTTATTGCACCATTACAAAACTACTCATAAATATTTATTGGACTGTTACAAAACTACTTATAAATGAAGACATTTTTTAAACATAAGTAAATAAATTTACCTTCAAAAGTCAACAATTTCATGCCACTGATGGAGCTTTTACCCAGGAAGAAATACATTTATCTGCTGATGTCTTTCTGTCCTGTCACTCATAGTTTTAGTTATTCTGTTTCTGCAGTCCCATCTGTCTAAAAGCAAGTTGGTCTGATTCTGCAGAGATTACTATCTTAGATTCTATCCGTCTGATTTATGTCTTGTCTGAAAACTCAATTCTGCTCAGTCACATTATCAGATGTTTGTTGAATCCACAATTGGACAAATAAACCAACAATTGGACAAATAAACCAACAAATGGACAAATGTACCCACAATTGGACAAATTTGAGGACAAACACAAATTTACTTTAACTAAATAAATGAAGACACACTGCCGTACCGTTACAGTGTCCTGGCTAAGTCTCGCCGTGTCTGGTCGTTTGCAGAATCTTTTTAAACGCTTGACTAGTTGTGCTTGTGTTGAGTAGAGGCAGTCTTCTGTTATAAATATGACAAATAACTACATTACTTTCACAATCTATCATTATACTAAAATCCAGTGATGTAAGATTTAACTTACCACAGTACCGTTGATAGTTACAGTCAAATTAAATCTTATACACCACAATACTGTTGATAGTTACAGTCAAATTAAATCTTATACAACACAATACCGTTGATAATTGGTAAAGTTAAACCTTATGTATAACACAGTACCATCGATATTTAAATAAAAACGTATAATTCAGGACAAACAAAGCCCATACAAAATT